ATTTGGAAGAAAAAGAGGAATTTTTCGGACGCCATAGCTGACGCCATATATACTCTCCTCTCCAGCCACAGAATGAGGAAGCTAAATCACAGACGCATTTGGGGGAACGGAACTTACCAGACATAATGTCGYTATTTTTGTATTTGTGGTCAATAGTTATTTTGGGCCATTTTACCTTGACCTTTTTCCTTTTCGTGCGKCTTTACCTTTTCTCTTGATTCTCATTCTCTCACATTCATTTAACAGTCACAAACGTTTAATGTGTGTATAGTTCTTTCTTAAAAATTCAGTTTCAATTGATTTTTTTTCTACMACACGGTGAAAGCATRCGTTTAAGTAGGAAAGGAACGCAGACATTTGTTTACATTTTTTGTCTTCCKTGTGGTTYTCATCCAATGGCGAAACAARCCCTTTTGATTTTTTTCTTATCGTATTTAATATTTTTAGATTTTGTTGTAAACAGGCAACRAAAGTGTATCAGGGATTTTTAATATGTTGCGATTTGTTAAAGTTAGTCGCTATCATAGTAGAGTCGTTAGTGCCACTGAATACATATACCTCTATCTCCATTTTTTAAATTCTTTTGTGTCTTTTTGAAAGATAAGTTGATATTCTTTATTTACCTAAACAAAGTAGTTTTTTGATATAAATTTCTCAACGAACAAATGTTTTRCAAATAGTAGATTGACTGGGTCAAACAAAGCCACCCAAGTAAAGATTTCTCTCAGATTCTTAGCCAACTTAGCAACAATTCAATTGCCAAAAACTTGTACAACGCTATAACATAAAATGATTACCTGAACATTTTAGATTATCCGTTTAAGGACCCTTTAAGACATTAACAACTGAGTACTTAGTATCGTTACGGGGTACTTGAATACTTGAACAGTTCTTATAGCAAGAAGAAGCGCTAAAACATTTGTGCTGAAAATAATGTATACATCTATACATGAACACGCAGGTCATCTGAAGACCTGAAAGGTTATCAAAGAGCACCAAATGTTTCCCTTTAATAAATGATATCAAAACAAAGAGCTATATTTCTATTTCTATTTATAAATATGGCAAAAAGTAATATTTTTCACGCGGATATATGTAAAAGTTAAGTTACAGTAATTTGAAGAGAACGTTCTTGATACCATCTGAAATGGTTTCAGGAGTGACCTCCCTTCCCAGCATTGCAAGTTTGGGAAAGGGGAGGATTCGGAKGATAGGGAAATGTTAGTATATTTTATTGGCAGAGATTGTAGCATTCATCAAATCAGTTGGAGGCACTAAGGAAAAGATTTCACATTGTTGTGATTTTCAACTTTATCTTAAATAGTTGTTTTCAAACCTTCCTCAGGGCAAATACAGGGACCGCGGAGCGGGATCTCGTTTGGGGGGGCTAGCGGCGAGGACGTACTAGGGGGGTCGGAAATTTCTAAAATCTTAACTCTCGGAAATGCCATTTCCAGCGTTTTGAGGCGTTATCCAAGATATATTTACCGCAGACACTGTCAGCAATATTATCAATAAAATCCCAAAGACTTCATAAGGAGGCTCTTCGCTTCTTTATTTAAGAAAATTAAAGATGTCGTAAATATTATTGGGGGGGGGGAGCTGTATCCCCCCCTGCTCCGCGGTCCCTGAAATATCCCATCAAAGTTTATTCTCTGGACCTTCCCAGAGAGCTCTAACCTTCCCTTTCATAGAGAGGTCCCAGGGGATGTGTGCCTTCAGTGTGTTGACCTCAGCCCCCGCCGAGCATCCATCGTTTATGTCCAGGAATGAAAATACGTACTTCAGCAAGGCGTCAGGAAGCCAGGCTGATAACAATTCTAAACAGGGGTTTGCAAGYGATTGAATTTGCCGCAAAGTCTGGGCCTTGGGGCAGAAAATTTTATTGACTTAAACAGTGCACTAAGAATTTGGCAGGTATACCGATGATAAATATTCTTCGTTTTCAAGYTACGTCACAGCGGCCATCTTGGAGGAACTTSAACAAAAGATTCCTCATTAGTATCTATTGTTCATTCCTACAAYATGGCCGCCGGTCTTTTATCTTTTGGATCTCATGGGAATGGTTGAARATGATCATTTGAGTGCATTTCTACTGGATGATCTACTCGGGTTTCTCTGTGGAGGAATGACTTTAAAAGGTATGGATAAGATAGTGATCATGTTGTAATTATTTCAAAAAATCAAAACAAGACCCTCTGCACGACTCCATTGACATACAAGATAGACTTCATGTCTAATACCTGGCCCTAGTGATCCTGTATTTTATTTTTGTAAGCTATAACATCCACTTCATGGTTGCATTATCTGCTTTGTTTATGGATAGATAGAGCTTTTTTTGTCACTGAGTTGGATTGAATACACCTCTAAAGCTTTTGCGTCATGTACCGTATACCTAGTATACACAATGCATTGTAGGATATATTTGGGACAAAACATGGCGGATTTCTTCCGTTTTATCTAGAAACTGATCCAAAAACGCATTGCAAATCAAGTAGTGACTCAAACAGTTCAGAAGTCTATTGAGGTCTTAAATTTTTTTAATTGTTTGAGGCAAACTTTCACTGATATTCTGAAAACACTCTACTCTGTTTCTTTTTGCTTTTATTGAAACTATGAGAGTCTTGTCTTGAATGAGCAGAAGTGCTCTTATGAATACACATCGTTTGGAAAAAACAATAGAAAATTAAAAACATTAGTTTAATAACAGGACACTTTTAAGGAAGACTGATTAACTTATGGTTTCAAGTGAAACTTCAACTTTAATGGAATTGTTTACATCGCTAAAAACATTCAATACAGATGCTCATGGTTCTACCACCTATACTTATTGTGGGAATTACCTCTTCACCATATTTACAACAAACAATGACCAAACTATATCTCATTCTATAACAAACCAAAAGTTATTTTCTGACTATACATTTTCAAGTGATTCAGTTATAATACACGCCATTACTATTATAACATTCACATTTTACCTGACCTCTTTAAAATATTGTCTATTTTAAAAAGATTGCCCAGTTGAAAAAACACACCGCATGTCAAATAACTTATTTATCAACTGGACAAACGTTTTGAGAGAAACTATTAATACTTATTTACACAATTGCATCTTCACCTTCACTGGATACGTCTAACTGATCCCAGTCAAAGAAAACGACAATGACAGTCATGTCGTCACGATAWWRCCTAGTATCAGGGTGTGGAATAYTCAGCGATGAGCTAACGGCAACATGGTCATCACCGCCAAGAGCTTCCCTTATCAAACATGATGCAGAGTTGGTCAGCTCACAGGGGAGCTCATGCTCATTGAATGTTATCTGATAAGCTTCTTTATCAGCTGGAGGGGTTTCTCTTTTATCTAAATGTTCCTTGACAAAATGGACCACTTCTTCATTACTCAACATGTCCCACAATCCATCTGTGGCTAGTACTAGGAATCTATCAGACTTCTGCAGCTGATAGGTGGTAACTTCTGGTTCTGCCGTGAGATATGGTGGGGTCAAATAATTGTCTTTTTCAGTGAAGTAATTTATGCCGGGGAACTGTTTGTAGATTTTTGCCTGAGTTTCTGTGTCCCATTTAAATCGGACGTCACCAAATGCTCTTAAAGGTGCAAGCCTTTTTAAAAGTCTTTCATACTGTATGCATGTGGTAGATTCTTCTAAAGGATGCTGGCTTACAATACGTTGGACCTCTTCTGGGTTACCTACAGGAAATAAAAAGATTAAATCATTTAGTCGCTTGAAATTCTCCTTCAACAGCATTGCATATCAGTAAAGAAGTGCAAGGCTGAAATTGTACTTCTTTTACTGAAAAAATTAAGCCATGAAACAAAATGTAATGGTCAAAGTAAAATTGTCAAATAGACTTGGAGACAATTAGACTCCTCGCAGCCGTTTTCCGGTGTCGTCTCGGAAAACGGCTGCGAGGAGTCTAGGAGACAATACAATCAGAATATAAAAGCCATCTTGTTTTGAATGTTTGTTTTGTTTTGATTATTGGTTTCTTCAAAACAAATGTCATGAAAGGACTGAAACATTCAGTAACTTTTCTTTCTTTTTATATCAGTTATCACACAAATTTACATGATACATTGTATGCATCTTACTTGCAGTATGATCTGATGTTAACTGTATAGCAGACCAAGTATTATCTGAATTCTCTAYGCCAAGAACKGCACGGCAATCCCCAGTGTTAGCAATGCAGAGTTCTGTTCCGTTAAGGTGAGCAACCAAAGYGCATGCWCCTGCATTAGCTGCATCRAACAAATGYTCATCAACTTCCCCTTGCTCATTTAAATTCAATGCCTCTTGTGATATATCCTCATCCAATGCAAGATATGCATTGGTTAAAGCATTGACTCTATGTGCAAATTGCCTATCTTGAAGTTCCTCAGCCCTAGCGTGAAGTCCTCTAATTTTCAGCTTGCTGGAAATGGTTGTTTGGATTGGCCGGAAGTTGTAGTTGTTATCCTGCTGCAAGTTCCGAAAATATTCACCAAAATTTCTTTGGCATACAGGATTGTCAATATAGCTGTAATCGTGATACTCATTACTTGACATACAAATATATTCAACGAGTTTTGGTATAGAATCAAATTCAGACAAAACAGCAGGGGYTATAAGGCTCAACGCAATGTAATTTGAAATTCTTTGGCATACACTCCTAGCACACTGGTCGCCACCATGTCCGTCTAAAACTCCAAAAAGRTACCCTCCTTCATCGTGTAATAGCTTGGCGATAAATTTCCTATCTTCTATAGGGTTATTAGAGGCTAATTGATTTGATTCAAAGCGCTGGATCACGCCATCTTTGATTTCGCCAGATATTTCTTCGGCAGCAATCATCGAGTTTACTTCATAGTCAGAAATCATCCACGGTTCTTGTGCCAGCAACGCTCGACCTGTACTGATGAATCGTAATCTATAGTTGATATAATGACAAGATAAAGGAGTTCTAAACGATCGATGTGTATAGCTTCTGGTCCTGACAGATTGGCCATCACCGAGGGAAGAGTTGGTGATGTTTATATGTCGTCTGGTTGAAGCAAATCTAGATTCGATAGCAAAATTTCTCTTCAAAATGTCTCTGCAGGTTGAATCAAAGAGATCGTACCTAAACMACGGMGAACCATGTTTTGAAATGCGCAGGAAATACTTCGAAAAATACGCCATTTTAGAAGGAAATACTTCAAATTGTAGAAATAATAAGTCTTATTGTCAGTACACAGCAAGTTCACAACCAAATACCAGTGCTCATATCGTGAAGCGTAATCGTGCAGAAACTATGCCACTCTATAACGTACTTCCTTGACGCTTATAACTTTGCTCTCAGTGAATCACTGAAGAGTTCCAGTAGCTGGAAATAATCCTTCAAAAATCCATAAAACGTTTGTTCTTTGGACGATCGAATGTGTTCCAGCCGCCATAACTAGACCCAGTATGCCTCGGCCAGTATTGAATGCGTCATGGCTGAATACGTCATCATTACATATTTACGTCACGGACATGAAAGTGCATTTTCTTTGCGGACAGAAGTTTCAATTTAAAAACAACAGAAAAATGGATATTTTCAAAGAAGAATATTATCTTTATCTCTATATATCTTTTATCTGCACATATATCAAATAAATCATTTTTTTGACCCTTTTTAAAAGAGTCAAATAATAGATGTGACAATGTCACGCAACGGCAGGACGAGTGKGATAAAACGCGGCTGTAGAGGACAACGGATTTAGAGGTATTCACGTACTCTTGAGGCTGTGGTTAGCCACTTCCCTARTCTATTTACCGTTGTTCATGTATCCGTTCCCCCAGCCATTTGACAATAATTTTGATGTCGAAAAAGGCACAGGAGCGACCGATATGAATTGTGGGAACTTATTAAATTTGTTTCTAGATTGTTATTTTGCCAACTAGATTACTGTAGTATAGTGGCCCTATTGTTTGGATATAATTTATTGGTAGGATAATTGATGGGTCTTTTGTGCCTTAAACCACAATAGCATACTTAGAAGATTAACATTTAAACTTCTGTATTATTATTAAAATGATTTTGACTCAAAGATACCCGCTTAGCATGTAAAGTGAGCAACGTTCATCTGTCATCATTTTCCTTTCAACATGATCGCTAATTTTCCTAAGACGTAGTTATTTATCGAGCCTCCGATCTTCTACTTCCAAAAGTCAATCATACAAGAACAGTTTGACAAGTCTCTGCCGGAATACTATTATTTAATGGAGTTCTTGTGTAACTTTGATGTAAGGGAGATTCTTGGAAAGGGAACCTACAGTGAAATAAAACGCTGTATTGACCGAAGAACGAAAGCAGACTTCGCTGTAAAAGAGAGTGTTTGGCGCACTAAGAGAGAAAGGAGATGGGCAGAGAATGAAGCGGAGGTTAGTGGAGCTCAACTACGAAGAAAAATATATCATGATCACTTAGTGTTGTTTATAAACGGTGATAATATGGTGTGAACGGAAGTACATGTTTGTATAAAGTTTGTACAGCTTGAGGGAAGAGTAGATCAGCAACCTCAGCAGAAGTTAGTGATTAAACTAGACGAAGCTGTTCAACTGTGTGAACAAGTTAATATAAACTTCTTTTTCCGTTTGTCTTGAACAATCGCAACAATTTGATATTAACTCGGAAAAATGGGGGTTCCACGTTCTGAAAATGAGCAACGGTAAAGATATAGCTGACAAACGGAGGTTTTGCTTTAGCAACAATGCAATGTGTACCATTCCTAGGAACCCAGGAATAATTTTGAACCTCAAGAAAGAAAGATTATTATTTCTGGATGTACTCCTAAGCAACCGCTACTTTGCGCCTTCACATATAGTGCTTTAGGCAAATCCGTGATCTCTCAAGACCGAATAATTTCAGCCGATTACCATTGCTTCGCTATGAGGCTTAGAGGCCAATAATAATGCATCCTCTCTCCTAAAGCACTTGCTTTTCGATTTTATCAGATTTTGAAAGGCCTGGACCATCATAACATCATTCGCCTGCAACACATGTATCATGGCCAGCAGTCGTTTTATCTTGTAATRGAGCTTGCGTCAGGAGGAGATTTGCTCAGTGACATTGTCAACCGCCCCTCGTACTCTGAAAAGACTGGACGAGAGATAATGAAACAGATTCTGGATGCTGTGACGTACTTGCACGATAACYGTATTGTTCACAGGGTGAGTATTGCGTTACATAACTTGTCATGCAATTTCGGAAATTATCGTCATCCGAGTTTTTTCACTATCCACCCTCAACATCTGTCATTGGTTTGGTCAGGAAGTAATGGGCTCCTGGTTTGGTCTTGTTCCCTATGAGGCGCATAATGTACGCGCCGTCTGATATTCAATGGTGAAAAAATATATTGCAACATATTTGACTATTATATCAACCAGTAATATTGTCAAATCTCGCTCCAGAACCCTCGTTCCTATTGGTCTGAGCAGAGGGACGGGTAGTGTGGACCCTGTGGCGATAATGTGTCATGGAACACCCTACAAGGACTTTATGATACGCTTTCACAACCGTAAAATTTGCATCTTTAATGCATTTTGCATCTGAGAGACAATTTGCTATAAGGATCGACCCCTCTAATGAAATTCCTTGATACAACCCTGCTGATTATGGAATTTCCGTCGCATTCATTTTTTCCATATCACGGAAATTATAGATCATCCACAATCCACCTGAAAGTGCATGATCTACATCTTTGAAGTCAACCTTTGGTGCGCACATCCATCATCACCGGAAAAAACGCGCGCATTAAAGGTTGTAAATTTGATGTAAATATGATGTAAGTGTCCATAATTCTGTAAATTTGATGTAAATGATTTCCATTAAATTTACAGATTTTTGGACACTTACATCATATTTACATCAAATTTAAAACCTTTAAAGCGCGCGATTTTTTTCAGTGCATCCAATAAGATACACTGATATACACTTTCTTATTGCAGAATATCCGCCCAGAAAAGCTTCTGCTATCCTGGAAATCAATACCAGACCAGCCATACCCACCCATAAAATTGACTAGTTTTGGTAATGCGAGGAGATTACCAGGTAAGTATAAAAGGTTTGGAAAGCAAACCACTTTCGGTCTTTCCAGTTTGTTTCTGAAAAAGATATCGATTATTGGAGAGACAGTTAAACGCATAGGTCTTTTCYTGAAATATAGCATTGCGCATTGCGTTATGGTCTAAATTCGGTGCAAACATCTAATGTACATACAGCTAAATATGGCGTTGTTTGAATTGAACCTAGACCACAATGCACCAAGCTTTTGTATTTCAAAAAAGGTCTATGGTGAGTATTAAACTGAAGACCATCCTCCCACCAAATTAGGTAGCAGGCGCGTAGCGTGGACATTTTGGCTAGTGCGCACATGAGAGGGATCGCGACACAAGTATTAAGGGGGGGTATGGGGGTACTCCCTCAGGAAATTTTAAAATTATAACTCTTTGAAATGTGATTTCCTGCGTTTTTAGGGCATTGAGAGCATATAAAAGGCATCAAATACCGAAAATTGTAATATTTCCTTGCCACTAGTACGCACGTGCGTATATGCGTAAAGGACGCTACGCGCCTGGGTAGTGAGTGTTTATTTAGAGGCRACTTTGCCATGTCTTGCAGMCGATAGGGACACCATAACGTGTGAAGTGGAAGGTTCTCCTCTTTACCTTTCACCAGAGATAGTTACCAACAAATCCATAGGGACCCCTGTTGATATCTGGGCCTGTGGAGTGATTCTCTATATTCTCTTGGTAAGTTCTATATGCGCGTCTGTCCCGGCAATTTAACTGATATTTTAAAGTCTGATATAATGCAGGGGCCATCCAGCTGGTGGGTGCAGGGGTTGCGCATCCCCCCCCCCCACTGAGATCTGATATCCTTCAATACTTTCCTTGTTTTGTATTTTCATGGTAATGATTTTTGTGGGGTGCACCCACTCCTGAGAGCACCGCACCCCTCCCGGAGGAAAATCCTGGATCCGCCCTTGTAATGGTATATGATAATATAATACCGATTGGAAATAGGCCTTAAAAGAGTTACAGGAAGGGTTGCCTATCCTCCGTGCCCAACAGCTGGATCCGCCAATGGCTTATGTTTTACGTTTCAGGTCGGCTATCCACCTTTCTGGAGCACGCAACGCACCCACCTCTTTGAAGAAATCATAAATGCTAACGTTACGTTCCCAGTCAGCAAGTCGCAAAGTATATCTTCACAAGCAAAAGAATTGCTGAATAAAATGGTAAGATATTTAAGAAATAATGTTTCCTCAGTTTCTTTTCATTATCTATTAGAATTATTATGTTGATTAACATGAGTGTCGTTGAGTGTCGTTTCGCATAAAGCAAGCGCAAACTGAGAAAAGGGTGGTGAAGAAAGCACAGTTTGATTTTCAGATTCACCGCGCTTCCTTCTCTTGCTCTCAGTGAATCACCCACTGAACATCTACAACTATTTAGTTATCCAACTTAACTTTCAAAGTTTCAAAAATCGCCGCAAATCAAACAGGAAAACGTCATACAGGCATCGCTTTTGGTTTTCAAGGTTCTCAATCAAGAAGTATTTCCCCATGTACACCCATCATCAAATCCACAACGTTTTGATTTAGAAATGTTCGATGAACTTAAAACTTCATCCACAATGTTTCGATTGGTGCTACTTCCATCACAATCTTCTAAATTGGCTTAGTTGAGTCACCCAATATCTATATACATATTATGTGATCGAACTTTTCTCGAATGAAGATTAATCATTTCGTGATCTGTATTTCATTTAGCTTATAACAGAGCCACGAGAACGGATCACTGCCGAGCAAGCATTACAAGAAACTTGGATAACTGACGATAATATTTCAACATGTCACAGGAAGAACACGCTGGACCAGTTGAACGTGTTTAACGCGAAGAGAAAACTAAAAGGAGCCGTGTTTACTGTTTTTGCTATGAACAGACTGCAGCAATCTGCTTTTCCGTAATTTACGCACACTATTACGTGTGATCAATACGTGCGTGCTTGCGTAATATTTTTTCGGAAAGTGGAACGATTATGATGATATAAGCAATACCTTACGTCCTTGGAAAGATAAACCAGAGAAAACTGAATATAATTAATGATAATTAAATGGAAATGGAAAGTATGGTGAACTGCATATATAGATAGAAATTAGAATGGGAGGAATGCAAGAAATGAAAAAAAAGGTGACTGATTTAATAGAATCTTTAATAGTGAGATGTAAATAATGTTGTGCCGTTGAATTAATATAGTCAAAAATCTAATACTATTGTGAAAATAATGAATAAACCGAAATAAACATATAAGTCATCAAAAATACTAGTGCTGACTTTTTTCAGAATGTTGTTTGTTTTATGTTCGTGTTGTTGTTTTTTTGTTTTGTTTTGATTCGTTGTCAATTTGTCATC